TAGAATCTTTCTTGAACACGGCAAAGAGTTTTAGTTGTGCCTAGATGACCGAACGTTGGGTCATCATGCATAGCCTGGGAGACATAAACGCGAAGACTCTTCAGAACTAACAGAAGATATCGCGAGCCTGTGCTGATGTAGTTCTTTTTGTAAACTAGCCCGTCTCAGATGCAGAAGTGCGTAGGCGATGATTTTGGTTTGGCAGCAAGAAGTTGCTGTATGGTGCTGTCCCTTTGTTGCTCATCCTTAAAGGTCTTGGTATTGGGAAATGGTTGGTTCAGTGATGTGATGTAAGCTTCGAAGTTGTCCGCGTTACATTCTGCCGTTGGAAGCGGTAGTCGTTAAAGACAATCTGCGTCAGCGTGGCGTCGGCCACTTTTATAGGAAACCGTGAAGTCATATTTTTGTAGACGAAGTGCCCAGCGAGCTAGTCGACCAGATGGGCCATGCAGATTGACCAACCAGCAGAGAAAATGATGGTCTGTCACGATGGTAAAGGGGCGTCCGTACAGGTAGGACCAGAAGCACTGCACTGCGAAGACTACTGCAAGGCATTCTTGCTCTGTGACAGTGTAGTTATGCTCGGACTTGCTGATCGAGCGACTGGCATACACTACGACATGTTCTTGGTTATCCAAGCGTTGAACCAGTACAGCACCTACACCAATACCACTAGCGTCTGTGTTAAGTTCAGTGGGAGCCAGATGATTGAAATGTCGAATGACACGTCAAAACAAACTTCAACTCCGAAAAAGCAGACTCACATTCCGGGGTCTAGTCAAATTGCGCACCTTTCTAAAGCAGGCACGTGAGCGGGTGTGGGATATCGGCAAAGCCGGGAATGAATTGGTGAAAGTATGAACAAAGCCCCAAAAAGCTGCGCAGATCTTTCACTGAGTGGGGTTGCTTAAACGCCTCCACTGCGGCCGTCTTGGCTGGATCTGGTTGTATGCCTTCTTTGTCTACTAAGTGTCCAAGGACGAGTGTTTGGCGCTCTCCAAAACGACATTTCTTTGAGTTGAGCACCAATCGTGCTTTGCTTAGGCAGTCCAGCACGAGGCCGAGGCGTGTGTTGTGCTCACAAAAGGTGCGCCCAAAAATTACCACATCGTCCAAGTAACATATACACACTTCACACTTCAATCCACGCAGAATGTTGTTCATGAAGCACTCAAAAGTTGCAGGCGCATTGCAGAGTCCAAACGGCATCATACTAAATTGTTAAAAATGCCGTTTTCTCCTTGTCTTCCTCGTGCATTGGGATCTGCCAGTAGCCTGACCTCAAATCCACAGACGAAAAGTTAGAGGCCGATGGTAGACAGTGGATAGCATTATCAATCCGCGGAAGTGGGTATAGGTCTTTTTTAGCGATGGCGTTGAGACAACGGTAGTCAACACGAAATCGCCATGTTCCATCCTTCGTCTTCACTAGAATTACTGGAGCGACCCACTGACTACATGATTCTTGAATTACATTTTTCTTGAGCAACCTGTTGATTGATCACTGTGCGTTCCGAAGGCGATACACAATATGGTTTCTGTCGGAGAGGTCTGTCAGATGTTGTCGATTCGGTGTTTTACACGAGAAGCAGATAATGACAATGGATCGTGCTGAGCAAAATAAAAAATACTGTCATGTTTGCGCAAAATACTCGCCAGTTCATTACGTTCGTTGGTGTTGAGTGACTTGTCAATCATAGCCATAATGGTGGTGTCCCTGGCGTGCAGATTATCGCAACGGGTCTTATCCGGGGAATTGCTGCTATCTGCAAGGATAGCAAGTGAGAATACTTGTTCACGAATGTCTGCAAGTTTCAGACCCTCCGGCAGCACTGTAGGTTTATCAGAGCAGTTAATCACCCATAAACCAGTATGGCCTTGTGCAACTGATAGCAGCAATAGGGCATTAGAACTGCCTTCTTTATGCAACTGAGATGCACGGGCTCCACGGTTGCGTCAAATGTTTTCTCGCTTGCAGGTGAATAGACAATAGGGACACATTTTGCAGACAACGGCGGCACAGCTATGTGCACGGACACGCAAAGAGCACTTTACTGACTGGGCGAGTTTTCCATAAACGCAACTGGAATATTGAATCTACTGTGATTTGTCCTGTGCGGCAATCAACAGTGGCACCACATAGCTGCAAGAAATCGAGTCCCAGAATGACGTCATGTGTATTATGAGGGAAGACAGCAAACTCTGCAACGAATTTCTAGCACGCCAAACTAACAGTCACAGTGCAGACACCAACAGGTTGTAACACATCTCCGATGACTCCAGGAAACATGTCAGGCGGTCCCTACGAAACATAACTTTTCGTCCAAGGGGGCGGGTGAAAACAAAACTCATCACTGACACGGTTGTATCTGTGTCCACCAACGCCATTGTTGGTACACCACCGATAAGCACTCGAACCTTATTTTTAAACATGGAAGCTAAAGGAGGTATTTCTGTTGAAACCGAAGACTGTCCGGTGACCTCACCTCCAACGGCCGGGCCGACTAGTTTTCCGTAGGAGGCGAGGAGTGGCGACGCCGAGGAGACGATGATCGGTTGACGTGAGGGGCAGGCGGTGGTGTCACACTGCGGTCAGAGGCCAGAGATTGGTTTCTTAGCGGTCCTGGGATCTCGTAATATGCGCTTCCCGGGAATGTCGGTGCTCGTTGTAACGCCAGAACGGTTATATCTCGGTGATCGGTCGTACCTTAGCGGCTGCCGGTAGTTGCAATAAGAAGAATGGCTATTTGGGCTAGTTGGTTTGAATTCATGGTAATAAGGGCTGCAGCGCGAGCACGAAGGTGCTAGAAGAAACAGACGAAAGGCGAGGCATGGAAAGCAAAGAGGACAACACGAGCGCTGACTACCAATGAATTTTATTATTCGCAGCACACATGATAATATATACAACAGGCAACCTTTTAACAGCAAACGTGAGCAATGTGACATATTCTGGGGAATGGTCTGATAAAAAGAAGGTACAGTGATAAAATGGTTAACCCTTATCTAAAAGCGCGAACTCTTTGTCATGCAAGGCCACCGAAGGTTGGCTCACGCATCCGTCACCATGTTTTCTAATAAAATACGCTTCAGCTATTTCACGAGTTTACTTGTCCATGTGGCGTGCCAGCACACTCACACCCGGAAATCGAGGCTGGCACCCGCAGCTTTTGCAGTGCAAAACAAGGTTTGAACTACTTCCTTTGCATATACCATTCATATGTTCTCCTAACCTTTTATTAATGCACCGCCCAGTTTGGCCTATATAACAACGACCCCACAATAAAGAAAGCATGTAAACAGCACCAACTGCGCAATCTACAAATTTATTTGTGTTTTACGGCATGTCCAACTTTTTTTGGTGATTCCACTAAGTCGCTCATCCGTCATTCTGCAAATCTGGCTTACTTTGCATGGGGCTGATAAAATTACATCCACACCATATCTCGAGCCTACCTTCTTCAAACCATGAGATATATTGTAGAAGTATGGGATGACTGCAACTCTTTTTCGCTCTTTATTTCCTCCTGCCTTTTCTTGTTTTTGTTTGATTCTTTACAACAAAGCTTCGCACACTGAAGAAATTACAGATTTTGTACCTTAAAACTTAAAACCTCTTTTGCAACGCAGAATTATCTCGCGACTTAAATTTCTTTACCAATTATATCATAGTCAATTCCGCATAGCACGATCTCATTACCTGCTAGACCCGCCCAAACACTCGCAACTGAACCATTCTGAAACCATTTTTAAAACCTCTTTCGCAACGCAGAATTATCTCGCGACTAAAATTTCTTTACCAATTATATCATGGTCAATTCCGCATATCACGATCTCATTACCTTCTACACTCGCCCAAACACTCATCGCGACTGAACCAATCTGAAACTATCCACCACCCTTTCAGTCGTGTTAATGCTCACAAACATTCCCTTTTTCCGTCAGCTATCCACCATTGGAATAGACTAGACAACAATGTTGTGTCCTGTAACATTATTCAATTATTTATAAACATAATACAGTGTGTCCAATTTGAATTATGAGCCGTTTGACATTGTATCTTCTTTCTTGTTATTCCGTTATATATTTTCCCTTCGATGCTTAGTATGTATTTTCTTGTCTCCACTCCTGCATGGGCCGTCAAAAGCCTGCAGTATGTTCAAATAAAAGAAAGGAAAAATTATGCAGAATACATCTTCAGAAGTGCAAACTGTGAAAAAGGAATAATACTATTTTATACAATAAAAAGTTACATCAGTAATGAAAAATGAAACAAGCAAGACGTTATTTACATATCTATTCCACATATCTTTGTTTGCTTAATAAGTATGTCTGCATGCTACATAGGCTTGAATGGTCTCGCACATTATTTTCATGAGGAACATCATGTGGTCGCCATTGCTTAACTGTGAAACAAAAGTTACATTTTCGAATTGGTGTAATGGCTTTATTAGTCATTTACGCGACCGCTCTCGACGTGTTATTAAAATATTGGTGCCAAAGCTCCTTCAAAAATGATCTGTATATGAGATTTCTCTTTTTAAATGGTAACATTAGCTGATCATTTGTACGACTCCACTTCCCCACCTGTTTTTACCTCCTACCCTCTCTCCCAGTCTTTGCAGGAATATTTTGCTTCAGTGCGACCCACTGTTTCATGCAAGTTTCAGACCCCGCTTCACGCACCACTATAGGTAGTTGTGACGTCTGTACGAGAACATTGGAACTAGCCACCTGTGCGTAACCAGCAGAGCGGCCATATAAATAACATCTTGCTCTAGCATACGACAAGAAGCCCACACTGTGTTGCAACATTAGGATGCAGTGGAAAATAGAGACTACCTTTTATAGAGATAATATACCTCACAGCATGTGCTCATACATACTAGCACATTTTCTTGGCTCTCGAGAATTGTGCCTTCCATTTTACAAAAAGAAATGAAAATTGATGATTTTCATTTCAGTGCCCCTTTTAGGTACAACATGTGTTTGTTTCGCAGGAGACTACTTCAAGTTTCATGCAGCACAGGACAAGCAAACGACCAGTCAAGTGAACCACAGCCGCGACTCTCTTAGACGCAAGCTCTTCTGCAACACTGTTGAGGCGAAGATGCACACTCCTGAGAGGTGTGTTTTGCCTGTGCTGTTTCTTTGATTTTGCAATATAGTAAAATGTATTTTTGACATTGTATTATCACTCGTAAGCCTTGTGTTATAACCCCGGAGAGTGCATTTAAATGTTGTCGTAACATGTTTCAGGGTCAGTTTTTTTAGTGTTGTTCTGCTTGGTTGTCCTGGAAAAGGCATGTAAAAGTTCCTGATATTACATATAGTGCAAAGTTTACTTATCATAATGCTCGCCAATCTTTTTTTTTGGTTTTGGAAGTATTGGTAGTAAGATGGGTTTTTGAACCTTAAAGACTTTCAAATGCCGTGTGGTCAACATCGAGGAAAGAACATGTCTTGCAAAATGAAAAGCTCTGGAGTGGAACAGCTGCACCATTTGCGCCATTGTGCGGCGAAAATTGCTTACTTGCACTATCCTGCGCCAAACCACTCCTGCTGCGCCAAGCTCACCTATGAGCTTGGTATTGCACCGCAGCACCAGAATTCAGCTGCGGAAGCGCGGCAGCGGCGGGTGCATTTTCGATGGAGGTGAAAATGGTGTAGGCCCGTGTGCTCAGATTTTGGTGCACTTTGAAGAACCCTAGGTGGTCGAAATTTCCGGAGCCCTCCACCACGGCGTTTTTCATAATCATATGGTGGTTTCTGGATGTTATACCCCACATATCAATCAGTCAATCAATCAATCAATCAATCAATCAATCAATCAATCAATCAATTGGAACTTAATCGCTATTTGGAAAAGTCATAAAGCACCATGCACGGAAATGGGGCTGAAACATTGTCTTTTTGGTTTCATCGAAACAGTTAAAGCTTTAGTTTCATAAGGGTTGTGATCGCTTCAGGAGCAGCGGTGAAGTTTGATCCTAAAAGCATGGTCGCTATCGCTGTGCACCGCAGGCATCAGTGCGAATAGCTCATTAACCCTTCTACGTGCTGCGCTGTTAATGCAAAAACAATGCGAAAAGAGCATCTCTCTTTAGCACTGCTTTATTCTCTTACACGAGCGTTTTGTAGAGCTACGCAATATCGTATCAAAAAAGTTTGCTGTAAATTTGTCACCATCACGTTCATTGCTTCGCCATTCCGGTGAAACTACTTTCCTATAGCCTAATGGTAGCATGCGGAAAATAAATAAAGGATGGCAATCACGCAGCTCAAAATGAAGAGGGTGTTGTCTGTTTTCCGGAACAGAACAGCCTAGCAATGACAGGTGCACATGACCTGTAATCGAACGTATGCGCGTATTCTTGTTTATTTGGCCGCTGGGCTTCGCACTTATTGGCTTGATGGTTGAGGCCTGTGCGTTGAGGTAAAAAAATAATAACTTGGATGCAGGTGCGTAGCCTGAAATAATTTGGGGGGGGGAGGGGCATTTTAAGGGGCACCAACTTAATATGGCCATTTTTCGCTCTTTATGCCATGGTGAAAAAAAATTCGGGAGGGCACATGCCCAGTGTGCCACCTCCTGGCTACGCCCCTGCATGAGTGACTGTTCACAGCTAAAGTCACAGTTGCACCGCGAGGGTGAAGCATTGAATGCGATAGCAACAAATTCTAACATTGTATGAAGTGATGCTGGCAGTTAACTTCCTTCTATCTGATCTCACGTAAGTATACAAAACGCTGGTGTACGATAACACGACCGCTTCGAGGAGAGCAACACTTTTCGCACAGTTTCTTCGCGATGAGAGTGCAGTAAGTAGAAGTGCATGCGAGTCACGCGCTGATGGCTGCCGAGCTAGTGGTCATGCCAGCGATCGCGACCACGTCCTTAGAAGCAAACTTCTTAGTTGTTGCTAGAGTGATACCTACTTCCCTTCTCCTTTCCTTTTTTTTTTATGCTCTAAGTTGAATGGAGTGCTTCCTGTCTGCTTCGACTACAGGCCTCCTGGGCGGGAGTATCGAATGATGTCGCATGTGCCCTCCGAGTGGTGGAAATAAGCCAGATCGTTTGATCTCGGATTCAACTGCGTTCGTTGCTCCTGCTCGCATTCTTTTACCCGTGGTTAGAACACACTATGCGCGGGGCCACGTTATCAATTTGTAATTTATATGGGACATTGCAGCAATGGCGAAAACCTGTCGACAGTGTCCATATAATTCCTGTTGCAATAATGAGGTTATTGCACAATGTAGTTGAGTGTTTGAAAAATCCAGCATACCGTATTTACTCGATTCTACCGCGCCCTCTACTGTAACGCGCGCCCGGTTTCCACGACAAAAAAAAAAAAAGTAAGACATCAATTGCAACGCGCACCCATTTTTCTCGTTGGCCCGCACGATCACACCACTGGGGAAAACGACTCCTTTCGGGAGCGTCTTCCGTTTGAATATGAGGTACGGGGGAAGCTTGTGCCTATCTGACGTGCAATGGAGCATTGCCGTCACTCTAGTTTTTTCGTGGCCTGATGTCAGCACGCGAACTTGCTTCGCCCCCTTCTTCTCGACGGTTGTGGTGCCAGGCAAGTCGAAGTAAAGAGGCGTCTGATCGGCATTCTCGATTTGCCCAAGCAGGTAGCCGTTGTTGTGCCGCAAGTTTAGGACGAACCTCTGAAAACTGGGAAGCTTTTCTTTGTACTCCTTCGGCAACTTTTGGCATATGCCCGTTCGCCTTCGGAGGGAAAAGCCTTTTCTCTTAATAAAGTTAGTTAGCCAGCACCTGTTCGTTTTAAACTGGCTCCGCATTAGCCCTTTTTCTAAGGCTAACTGAATCGCCTGCACTTGGAGCAGTTCTGTCGTCACGGGCCGCTCACTGCTCAATCACATACTCGCCGAGCAGCTCTTCAATTTGCGGAAACCAACCGTGCTGTGGTCTACTGAAGCCTTTGCATGAATCTTGGCTGTGGACAATCTTCTGCTTTTGTTTCCGCCAGTCGCGCACGCACGTTTCGGGAACATTGAAAGACCACGATGTGGCCCGATTTCCGTCCGTTACGGCACAAGCGATGACTTTTCTTTTGAAAGCGGCATCGTGGTGCACTCGTCGAGTTTTTGGACTCCGAATGCTCTTACTGCTCTAAACTTGTTCGAAGAGGCCCTTCTGGCTGCTTCAAGCACGCTCCAAAACATTCCTCTGGCTTCTCCAAGCCTGCTACAAAGAGCACTTTTGCCCGCTCCCAGGACTGCTCTAATACCCATGTATCCTGTTCCATCCCTGAAAGCTCTAATAAAACCGATAAGAAAAAAGAGAGAGAGAGACAAGCCGGCATTGCTGCGAGAGCACCTTTCAGCTCATGAGGAGTATCAGTAATGATCAGTCTTCTGCTAGAAGTGATGTAAAAAAAGAAGTCCCAACCGTCTCCTGTGCCGACAGAGGAGGTTAATTGGCTTTTAAAGGGTAGAGCAGCTGTACTAGCTGCTTCACCACAGTGCCATGAGGCAAGCGTGAAGAGCAGATTCAGACAACGCCTTCTCATCCGCTGAACAATTTTTCAATACGAACCAAGCTCTACAGTTGCCTTGAATGCTGTTTCCTCTGAGTAGAATCCATTTACTTTCTTAGTACAAGGATCCCATTACTGCGCCAACTGCGCCAAAGTGCGCCAAACAAGATTTGCTGCGCCAACCTGATAAAATCGTCGTGAATTGTGCCAAACCGTCTATATCAGGGGTCTGCAACCTGAGGCCCGCGAGCTGCATGTGGCTCGCAGGGCAGTTTTATTAGTGAGGCTGTAAACTTCTTTAATCGAGCTATTTAATGGTTTTATTATAGGCGAATTCAGTACAATTTAAAAATCCCTTGAAACACTCACACATTCATGCACTCTTCCTCTCAAGAAGCACAGTAAAAGAGTGTAGCATTGTTTGAGTGTTTCAAGGGATTTCCAAGTTGCACTACAATATCGCGAATTAGAGATTCGCACAACATCAAGTTTAATATTTGGTAGTTACTTGGTAAAGTGTTGCAAGGGGCCTTTAAACTTGATGTGCACCTGTCATGGCAGTCTAGGGGTCATGACGCTCAATTGCCTACACAAAAGTCGCGGCATTGAATCCCAGTTGTAATGGCACCATTTCAGTGGAAATAAAATGCTGTAGGTCTGTGAACTTGGATTTAGGTGCACTCTAAAGAACGCCCAATTGTGGAAGATGAGGAGCCCCCCACTATGGCCTTTCTTACAGTCGTATTGTGGTTTTGAGATCCAAAACACCAACAATTGTTATTAAACATCATCTGCTTAAACTTATGCAGGTCTCTTGAAAGCATATTTTTTTTCTTTTATGCATCTTAGTTTAAGTGTGGCATTTCTTGTCTGTGCTTATTGCCACATTTTGCCTGTATTTCGAGCTCGCAAATTTACCACTGCTGTCTAAGCCAGTCCGTTACCTTGCCATCCTGTCAAATCTATGCTGATGTGTTCTGTGTTTCAGGCATGAAAGTGAACGACTAAGTCTCTTGATGGATGGCTCATCGAGGAGGCTGTCTTCTACGTCCGTGCATGTGAGTTTCCTATCAGGATGCGAATGCAGGAAAATCCTTGCTTACTACTCCTTTGGTCACTTACACAGACATTCTACAGCACTATAGACTAGGCCGTCTCCGCTATGCTCCAGCTCACAAAAACCTCCCTCGACGTGATGCCGTCCTGTTGCGCAAGCTTTAGACAGGTGTCTTTCCCAACCCCTGGCTTTATAGCAAGGTATACCCATATCTCGTGACACCAAACTGCAAATACTGCTCACAATCGGCCACCCTCATACATGGCATAGACGGGCCCACAGTATGCTGACGCTTCTCACACAGAAGATACATGGGAGTTCCTTCTGCATATCTCTGACTCGGCACAGCAACGCCGGGTAATCTCTCGCGCATTGGAGGCCGCAATGTCCTCCTCTGAGAAGCGTAACCGACCTCTCGGCCGGTCCCCTCTTTTGTGAGTAAGAAAGTTTTGATCATCATCTGTTACTTTTACCAGTGGCAGAGGTGTGCTCATTAGATTGAGTAAAATATTCTAGTATGCCCTAATTAATGGTACTGGACGAGGCATAATTTTTCTTGTAATGTTCTTCATCGATAGGATATACAGTAGATGCAATTCCAAATTTTTATTATAGAATAAATGGAAATCTTTGAAATGCAGTAGGTGCTTAAATGAAACGCAATGCACTAGTTGCATATTAGAATTATAAACCCCTGTCCCATTGAATGAAGTGGCCAGTAAATTGAACAGATTTCCCGTTATGAACATGGCATAACGAGTGATCATCGAAGGTAGTGTCTCCAGCACAGTGATTTTCTGCTACAATACGCAGCATAATATACCTAAACGACCAGTAGTTATCCACTCGAAAAGCCTGCACGAGATTGCTTTCTGGCAGTATTTCAAGCCATGGGAAGAAACACGTGGTGCATGATGTGCCTCCAAAGTTTATATGTACACACGGTGCTTGAAGGGGGTAATTAAGAGTACGCTAGTATTAGATTTTTTTAATCAGAATTGAATATAGAATAATCAAGAGACGTTACATCAGTAATTTTTTATTTTACCATATTGTCATACGTGAGGGACTGGCGGGCGGCTTCACACGATGAGGTTGCGGCCGTGTTGGGCAGCCGGGTGAATCGCTGAGTAATACGGCGGCTCTTGGCTTCTTCGAAACGCCGGCACTCTTTAATGATGGCGTCGATGGTGGCAACGTTGTTGTAAATTACAAGATTAAATGCGTCGTCTGCTATGCCTTTCAGCACATGGGCCACTTTCTCCGGCTCACTCATGTGCTCGTCAATCTGGCAGCATAGGGCGATGACGTCGTGAATGTACGCGACGTACCACTCCGTCGACGTCTGTGCACGAGCCGCCAGTTGATTCCGCGCTGCGATCTGCCGCCCAACGGTGTTGCCAAAAAGGTCGCGGATCTTCTCTTTAAAGGAGTCCCAGCTCGTAATCTCCGCTTCGTGCGTCTCGAACCACACTTGCGGTGGGCCATCGAGGTAAAAAAACACATTGGCAAGCATAAGAGTCGGGTCCCACCTATAGCTTGCGCTGACCCGTTCGTACCGGTTGATCCATTTGTTGACGTCAACGTCATCCTGACCGGAAAATACACCGGGATCACGAGCAGGAGGTAGAACGACGTATGTAGAAGTCACGGTAGGGGCAGGTGGCGAAGACGATGGTTGTTCAACCTGTGACATGGTTGGACCTATGATGATGCGGCCGTTGCGGAGCTTCGTGATTAAGACGGGGAAGTACCCAGCACGTCCACCACAAAGATGTTACATAAAAATGACACGAGGCGTGTCTATTTAAAATCTATATGCAAACTGATGCGTATGGCGTCGACTAAGATGGAAGACAGCACGCACAACCGACAGACCACTTCCTCGTTGTCGTCTTCTGACCGCTGATACCTGATACGGGAGGGGGAACTTGTCAACGTAAATTGAGGCAAGTCTGAACGTGAAATAAATTATGAGTATGAACGTGAGTGGGTTTTCGGGAGCATGAGTGCCTACGAGTGTGGGTAGGTTTCAGTGTGAACGAGAGTGAGCACTGATGAGTGTGATTAGAAGAGAGTATGAACATGAGTGAGCACTCATGAATGTGAGTGGACGTGACTGGGAACAGGAGTGGCTGCCTGCAAGTGCGAGTAGGCTTGAGTATGAATGTGACAACCTGTGCACCTAAGGCACCACAACTGGTCTCCTTTCATTGTACATGCACTCTGTTCTCCTACGCTTATAATTAATATCTTTGACCCACTTGACAAGCTTTTGTCAGCTCCTCAAAATTTCAGCATCAGGGTAGCCCGCTGACTTCAGCCTTTCAACTTGGCTCAGGAAACTTTTTTTTAATCGTATGTGCGCATGTTTTCTAGATCCCAACTCGCAGCGCAGCATAAATACTGCCGGACTTGACTATCTTGGAATGGCCTGAGGTAAATGGCAAGATACCCTTTATGGATCGGTGTTTGTACAGCCAACACAAATGTTCCTCGAGAGATTCTCATGGCAATCTCATGCACTGATTTGATGGTACATGTTATCTTATGTTTAACAAAAATGAAACATGAACATAAAACAAATGTTATAATGGTTATATAGCAACAAAATCTAACAGATAACACAGTACCGTTCATTAAAAAGGTTGTCTTTGCATTTGTCGGTCATTCGTGGTTTGTCTTCTGCCTAAAGTGAAGAGTTATGTCAACTCCCAGCACAACTGATTAATATTCTAATGAAAATCAGTTGTTAGTTGGTGTTCATCTGCGTCACTTCTTTAACCTTCCATGGTGGTCTAGTGGCTAAGGCACTCTGCTGCTGACCAGGTCATGGGAACGAATCGCGGCTGCGACAGCCGCACTTTAGACAAAGGTGAAAATTCTTGAGGCCTGTGTGAACACATTTAAATTAAGGTGCATGTTAAAGAACACCAGGTCGTCGAAATTTCCGGAGCCCTCCTCTGTAACACACATGTAACACGCTCGAGGCGGGTGGGGATGTGGAAAAAGAGGGCTTTATTCCGGAAAGCTACAGATTACATAGCCCCGAGCAAAAGGGCGTATCTTGTTGCACCTGAGCGCGTGTGCAAGGCTTTGTACGACGCAATCGCTACATCACATCTCCCTTTTTTTGTTTATTGAGCCAGTTTAATACTGTTCTGGCTATGGGATCGAATCGGTTGATGACACTTTCGTTGGCTTTTCTGCAATGGTTGTTGCATAGCAGACTCAGACGTCTTAGTGGCTAGAGGGACAGGTGGCACTGCATCTTGCCCGGTAGGTGTGCGAGATGGTCTGAGGTGTTCTCTTGTCCTCTAAAACTGTCGTTCATCTTCCCCTTCCAGTATGTAGGAGCGGGGGCTGTTACCTTTCCTGATGATTGTGACGGGTGACCACGTTCCCGAAGGTACACTACAGTAGACTCGCGATAATTCAAACTCTGATAATTCGAACTTTCGGTTAATTCATACAAAATTCAAAATTTTGGTTGGCTCGCTATGCTTTCAATGTACTTAAAAGCCGCTTAATTCAAACTTCGTCATTCGGTTAATTCGTACTTTCTGCCTGTCCATACCGGAAAATTTCTGCTGATTTGCCGGCAATATTTGAAAATTTGCGTGCTTATGATTATCATAATAGTCTGATATTGAAAAATAAGCGCCTTAAAACTTCAAGGGAAAAGGTTTTGCCACACAATCATTTCTCAGCATTCCGCGCCGCGGTGGAAAAAAAAACGAAAAACAAAAGTGGCCCGGTGGTTACGAAGCTGGCTCGCGGCTTATCTCTGCTTTTCCGGCGTGCCGGTGGCGCCGGCCGACTCCGAAGCACGTGACCTGCCCACAGAATGCGTACAGGTCTGCCCGTCTTTCTTACGTGCTGCGCATTTTTCGATCGACCATGTCACCGCGAGGAAAATATCGGACACTACCCCTAAAAGAGAAATTGGCCGCTATCCAAGAAGTCGACGCTGGGGTAAAGAAGACCGAAGTGGCACTGAAGTATGGAATAACCAAAAGTACTCTCACAACCATTCTGAAAGCCAAAGACAAGCTGCAGAATAACGCGAGCCGCTTCGCTCCCGATCGGAAAAGGCTTAGGGAAGCTGCGTACCCGGATCTCGAAAACGCCGTGCTTCTTTGGCTCAAGCGCGCACGGAGCTCCAATTTACCGATAAATGGGCCAATCCTACGAGAGAAAGCTGAAGAACTTTCCTTGCGCTTGGGAATTGAAGATTACAAGTGCAGCGATGGCTGGATTTCTCGGTTCAAGGAACGCCACGGTCTCTCCTTCAAAACAGTGAGTGGTGAAGCAGCAGTGGTCGATGAAGCTGTTTCTTCTGACTGGCGGCAGACTAGACTTCAAAGCCTGCTGCTTGAATACTCCCCGGCTGATGTATATAATGCCGACGAAATGGGGCTGTTTTTTAAGTGCCTGCCCGATCAAACCTTGTGTCGCAAGGGAGAGCGTTGCACTGGCGGAAAGCTGAGCAAAGAACGGTTAACCGTCATAGTTTGCGCCAATATGGACGGAAGTCACAAGCCAGAACTCTTTGTTGTGGGCAAGTCAAAGCGTCCCAGGTGCTTTAAAGGCGTCCGAACGCTCCCAGTTGCATATGACGGAAACACGCGAGCCTGGATGACGCAAGCTTTGTTCGAGGGTTGGCTCCGCAAACTGGATGGGCAAATGAAGCGAGCGAAAAGGAAAATTTTGCTCATTGTTGATAACTGCCCTGCGCACGGCGACGTGGAGGGGCTGGAAGCAATTCGCCTTGAATTTCTGCCTCCTAACACTACAGCTGTCCTCCAGCCCCTGGATCAAGGGGTAATCAAATGCTTGAAGCTTAATTACCGGAAAACACTGCTAAAGAGAATGCTGGTATGTATGGACAATTCCATGCCTTACAGTGTCACACTACTCTCATCGTTGGGCATGCTCGCCGACGCATGGAATGCTGTCACATCAGCAACAATAAGGAACTGCTTCGAGCATGCCTTCCGCATACCTGGCTGCAGCATTGCCACTTCATCTGACTGCTTGCAGACTGAGGGCGACGATGAAAGCCAAGTGCTGTCTGCTCTAAAAGCGCACAACATAGCTGCCGACCTCGACAGTTATGCAGCTACTGATGATAACCTGTGCGTGTGCAGGGAGGACACACTCGATGACTTGGTGGCAGAGGTGCTGCCAGCACAACACAGCAGTGAAAGTGAAGAAGAACCGGAAGTGAAAAATGTGACAACTGCACAGGCTTTCCAGTACATTGCTAAAGTGAGAAAATTTCTGACAACAACAGAAAACTCTCAGAATCAACTGGCAGCACTTACTGGCATCGAGAGCTTTGTGCTAAATGCGCATGTGGCAAATAAGCAGTTGACCATCCATGATTTTTTTAAAAGGTCTAGTCAGCAGTAGATAGTCAATAAACTTGTTGACCATACATGCACCGCTCTCTGTTTTTGTGTAGTTAGGATCTAGAGATGCTTAAAAGTGTAAATATAGATGTCTGATCATAATTTGTGCTGTCACCTTACCCAGAGTCGCATATATGAGAACTTCTGATAATTCAAACAGCCTGATAATTCAAACAAAATTCAGGGGTCCCTTCGAGTTTGAATTAATGAGAGTCGACTGTATATACAGTGACCCTGGCACCCAGTGGCAGCTCAGGTAGATGCCTGGCACCTGTTGCAGTAGGTGCGTTCCTTGTGATGGATGCCTTGCAGGCTTTGCTGGACGTCTTTTGGTTGCACCGTCTGAGGCTGTAAGTGGGTAGCCGGAACTGGTATGAGCGTCCTGGTCAGCCGACCCATGAGTCGCTGCGAAGGAGATTTCAAAAGGTCATTGCGCGGTGTGTTCTGCCACTTTAGCAAGGCAGCGCAGAAGTCAAAAGAGCCAAAGTGATACTTTTGTAGTAATTTTTTGGCCTCCGGCGCTGCTCGCTTGGCCATGCCGTTAGAGCGAGGATTGTATAGACTCGATAAAACATGGTTTGTTCCTATCTGGCTGGGGAAGTCTTGAAACTCTTGACTACTGAACGGTGGTCCTTTGTTTGTGATGTGTCTGCTTGGGAAGCCACGCGTAGCAAAAATACCCGTGAAGGCACAGATCACTTTGCTCGCTGATGAAGACTGCACAGCCCTGATTTCATAAAAAAAGGAGTAAAAGTCAGCAACAACCAAGTATTAATTTTCTTGATGGTAGCAGAGGTCGGCTCCAGTGACCTCCCAAGGTAAACTTGGTGTTTCATGGCTGTCCAATGGCATTCTGGCATTCTAGGTCTATGCCGCTTGCACAATTTACAGCGTCGTGCTGTTTCGTCTATGTCACCATTAATGCCTGGCCAAAATAGACAAATACGAGCACGTGCTTTCATTTTTTCTCTTCCTGCGTGTGCAGCATGCAGACAAAAGAGAATGTCCCCATGTATTTTTGGAGGGATAACGAGCCTGTTGCTGCGAAGCACAATGCCACTTTCCGTGTGTTGCTCGTCACGAATATTCCAGTAGTTGCACAACTCTGGAATGACGTCATGCTTGCTGTTGGGCCAGCTTGGGCTTGCGTAGTCATGATGTTGACACATGGTCGGTTCTTTTTCTGTTTCTTGCAGAACCTGGTTCAGGCATTTGTCTGAAATCGGAAGATAGGCCATTGAATTGACATGAAAGTGTGTATCGTATTAACTCAAAATTGGACTTGGGAAATGGGATAATGGCGTTGGCTACAAAAAGCTCTTTTCCTGGCGTATACATCACTCGCACATGATATTTTTGCAGGTTGAGGCGCATGCACTGAAGTCAAAGTGGGCATTGGCACAAAGGTTTCTGAAAGATCATCTCAGGCGGTTTGTGATCAAACTTTACTCTAACCTTAGGCTGCCCAAACTAGTAGTCCTGAAACTTTTCACCACCGTGCACGATTGCAAGCATTTCTTTTCTATCTGCACGTATCTCTGTGGAGTTTTCAAAAGAGGGCCCGACGAGTTGCTACTGGATGACCATTTTGCGTAATCACGGCATTGATCCCATTCTGGCTGGCATATACCGAAAGCATGATGGGCTTGTTCTTCTAGTAGTATGCGAGAATGGGCACCTTTGTTAAAGCTTCACGAAGGGCTTCTAAACTAGCCTGGTGTCTGTCTTCCCAGAACCATGCTGCGTCGTTCTTTAGAAGTTCACGAAGTGGAGCTATGGTTTCAGACATGTGCAATGAAACGGGAAACAAAGGTAATCATAGCTAGGAACGTCTGCAGTTCCTTCTTGCTGTGTGGGAGTGGAACTTGAAGTATGTCCTCCAGCCACTCCTTTTTGAGGCTGAGTCCTTCCCAAGTCAGAACATGACCGAGGTACTTGACAGATTTCTGCAAAAAATGACATTTTGCGTGGTTCAACTTCAAATTGTGCTCCCAACACTGGTTTAGCATGTTGACAAGGTTGCGGCCATGCTCTTGCTTTGAATTGCCCCACACAATAATATTGTCCATTACAACTGCAGTTTCCTCGAGGCCTTCCAATATTCTCTGCATTGCTCGCTGGAAAATTTCTGGTGCTGACGCTATTCCGAAATCCGCAAGAATCTGTACCGGCCAAAGGGGTTGCTCATCGTGCAAAATTTGGAGCTGTCTTCGTCAAGCTTAATCTGCCAGAAGCCCGAAGCAGCGTCAAGTGTCGAGAAGTACCTAGCTCCCGCTAGTGAAGGCGCAATGTTTTCTAAAATCGGCCTAGGGTAGTGTTTCCTTAGAAGTGCTTTGTTGAGTTCAGTAGGGTTGAGAAAAATGCGTACTTTATCTTTTTTCTTCATCGTGACCATGTAGCTTGCCCATTCTGTCGGCTCAGTCACTTTCTGTATTACGTGCTCGTCTTCCATGCAGTCTAGTTTCTTTTTGACATGGTCTTTAAGTGCGATTGGTATTCGCCTTGCCGGTCTGACGACTCCTTGGAAACCAGGCTTAAGCTTCATACGGTGGATGATACCTTTCAAGCTGCCGAGTCTGTTGAAAATGTCTGCATGATGTTTCGCGGCCTCGTATAGCTCTCGCTGGTCCACTGAAGCTAGTCTAAGTAAAAGACCCAGTTGCTCAGCGACTGCTCCGCTTAACTAATGTTACTGGAATGTCCTGATCGACAACAAAGTCTGTTACAAATGAGGCATCAGTTCCATTAACTCGAAGGTGGATGCGGCCTGTATCTGCCTTTTGATGACCAAGGAAGGTGTTAAAAATGACGTCACAGTGTTCGTCTTCTTTGTTTGTTATCTGTTGTAGGTTATTATTTGCGCACCTTTCAGATCACGAGGACAGCCGCACACCAGGCAATGAGCAGACAGATTTGCTCCTCCTCCCGACCTGATAGACGCTTTATGTTCTTTTAATTGGACATAAATGCATCGTCCCGTCTCTCCTATATACACACAACCACACGACAATGGAATGCAATAAATAACCTTTGTGATGGGGCACGCAGTGAAAGATGATTTATGGCTGGTACAAAAAGCATTCTTAGGTTTCCACCCATCGATCTTACCGGAGACTTGATAGCTTACACGGCGATGAAAACACAATGCGAACAACATGCCACATGGCAACCATTTTCATGTTATGTGAGACCTTATGAATGCAAGGCATTACTTTTACTCGCTTGCGGTCATCATTAGCAGTATTGTTAGCACTGCTAACTCGACCTTCTTTGGTTGCTTGTTTCAACTTTTTTAGTTTTGTCTCAGTTACTGCCTTAGGGGACGCTTTAGGAAAGCGAGCCGCCTACAGCCGTTTTACCTGTTCGTGAAAGCTTTGCTCCATCGAGTGATGGCAGCTTCTGTTCAGAGCATTGTTGATGCATAAGTTGGCTATGGCATGCTTCACTATTTTAGAGTGCAAAGACGGAAATGGTAGAAGCTTTTTCTGGGGACAGGGCGCGTCTGGGGACACCTTGCTCACAGTGCACTGTGGGATTTGACTCGACCACAGAGCGTACATTCCTTAAATTACTACCAGCGAACTATTTGTATACACCATTTACCATTGGCGGCACTTATGCACTTACAGCTCGGTGGATACAGAGTGTTTTTATTATCAGAAAAAAGGCATGGAAAGTGCGCTTGAAAGTTTGACGCCCTATGCATTGTGATGCAAGCACACTTTTACAGGTCATGGCCGCTAGCGCTTGTCTCGCTGCGACTCCATCACAAGACATCGTGTTCTTTTACCGCTAGTTTGCATTTAGAGTGCAGGTCACTTCACTTCCCCAGCGGTCACATTTGGGAAAGGAGTGCATTGCTCACACACAAAAAAGTAATAGTCGGGACAGTTGTTAGTTTGTGCTCATCCTACCAATACTTAAGCATTCGTTTCATGCGTCCTTCACTGTTTGTGAGCAATACACTTCAATTGTTGAGTTGTGGCAGTTGTTAGTCACGCCCATCCTGCGCATGTTCTTCTCATACATCCTTTCTGCTCGGGGATGCTGCAGTTTTCGAGCTGCCTGCCATTCTTTGTGCGACATTACAACTTCTTGTTTTGCCATTGAATCCTTGAGCTTTGTGGCAAAACAGTGTACCATGAATGCTTGACTACCTCTGTGAAGATTCGTTTTTCTTTTGTGTTTCTGATTCCTATTACAGAAGGATCAGCCACGTTTTTTTTATGCTGCTTCAGCGGCTTTGAGTTTTCAACCTTATTTATGCTCAATTTTATTTGAAGTTGATATATGTTAGAAGGGTGTGCACAACAAAGAGTCTGAGTGCCTTCTCTTTCAGATGGCACTGTGCTCCAGCCCCATCGGTGGGGGAGGAGGCATACGACCCCGTTGCAGCCAGGCCTCGAGCCCAGGCTGCGAACGCATGCAGCTGTCTCCAATATGCCGCCAGGCCCACACCAGGCCACTGCTTGGTGAGTATGCACCAGTATTGGGCACGCTTCCTTGAAAGGAGAACTATTACAGTTTACCTGGAGCAGAGAAGTAGCCCGGTTACACCAAAAGTTACAATGTTTAAGTAGGCTCGTGTGAATATTGCTCGTGTGAATATTCGAGCACTTGAATATTTCAACAAATATTACAGGGGACTATAGAATATAAAGGGTACTATAAAATTGTTTTAATTCACTGGAGTTCAAATTAGTAGGCGCATACTACGCATACTACAATGAGCTAAAATCGTGCCACACTGTGCGTTCAGAACCTAATAGAGCTAACTGTAAGCTCACTATCCCTAATTGGATGCTAATACACATTTGTGGCAAGCTATTTCGTAAATTGCGTTCATCGAGCTTCAACAGCAGAGAGAATTAAGTGATGAGAGTGATGCACCGGAAACAAGCAGTACTTGTATTCATACAAGCAGTGAGCCTCAAAATGGTGAATGCAATCTATGCTTCATAACACGTTTATTTACATGGCAAATTTAATCGAATGGAAATAGAAGTTAATCAGTCCTTTTCATTTTCTCACATCTTTCTGTCGTGACTCCATAAGCAGCGACAGCTTGGCGAATAGCTGTTTTGTTGTTTCAAACCTCCAGCAAATTTGGTATGGTTTGGTTTTGACTCTGGGCAGACTTCTGCGAGAGGTGATGAAACCCAGTTTCTCCCTCCCAATTCGAAATAACCGGAGTGGATACTGACGTGTTTGAATTGTGAGGGAGTTTTCCTCCATAGAAATACGCAGGGCTGAGCTGAGACCGGGGCATCAGTTCGGATTAACTGTAAGTCTAAATTGATCATGTTTTACTCTATTTTAATTCACTGTAGCTTGAATTTAAATCATCCGAAACTTCCAAATGAACGAATAGGTGTGTATTAGAGCACATGTAGCCTCCCTGTACAGGGCCTACTATTGCACCATAACTAAAAAGTGCTATGCCCTCAAAACACCTTCAGGAAACATTCACACTGCTGCAAAGCCCCTGATCAAAATTAAGTGAACGTATTACACTGACATCGATTGATTGTTTTCCGACTTCAAAAACTTGTTGTAGTCAGTTATATCTTCTAATTATAATAAATTTTAATATGTAACTCTTTTCATCGGTTATCACTTTTCATCCTACAGAAATTCAAGTTTTGCTACTATTCAAAATTGCTTCCACTCAACGTTGAACCCCCAAAAAATGACATCCACACGTCATGTTTTAATTTTTTAACTAGTGAGTGCATTAGTTGGGTCGTTACAAAAATTCTTATTTTCTTAATGCTAACATGTGACATACAATATTCGAACTACTTGATTCAATATCATTCTACAAAATCAGTATTCCTGGTCCGTAACCTTAAAACTTATATTTTTTTCCTTTTCGCTCTGAAACTAAAGAAAAAGTCAATATCAAGTAAAGCAATTTTACGTCTTTTTTAGAGGTGGCCCTTAGTACAGTGAAAAAAATGTGGGCACAAACCAACTTCGAAAAATATTGCCGAGAAGTGCGGAAATGCAGACACTGCTTTGCTGATGTTGCATAGTTGGGAGGAGCACGACAAATGACTCCGAAGGGTTTACTAATGAAGTAGTCTGTAAAGCTATTGCTGATCATGTGATGTCATTAGTAGTTTTTAGAGCCATAAGCATGGAAATTTAAAACTTATAGTAATATAGTACTTTATTGTGACTAAGATTCAGGACAAAAATATAGCTCCTCTTTGTTATAGAAGTACATAGTCATTACCCAATGTTTTTCAAGTGCCAAGCATTTCCTAGCGAACTGCAGGCACTTTGAGCATTTCTATGTATCTACACTCAAACGTCGATATTACGAACCTGGATAGCCCCGCCGCGGTGGTCTAGTGGCTAAGGTACTCGGCTGCTGACCCGCAGGTCGTGGGATCGAATCCCGGCTGCGGCGGCTGCATTTCTGATGGAGATGGAAATGTTGTAGGCCCGTGTGCTCAGATTTGAGTGCACGTTAAAGAACCCCAGGTGGTCTAAATTTCCGGAGCCCTCCACTACGGCGTCTCTCATAATCATATGGTCGTTTGGGACGTTAAACCCCACATATCAATCAATCAATCAATGAATCAATCAACAAACCTGGATATACCAAATTATTTATTATAGGGAAGTAAATGAAGAATAGCTTTGTCACAGATGCAGTGTTACAAATATGTTTATAACGAAGTTTTGGATATAACAAACTATTTTCATGGCAGGTGTGCCTTTGTTACAATGAGGTTTGAGTGTATCTATCTAGCTGCTTATGTCTAAGTGCTTTTGTACCCGCCTCTTGAACTTACTGCCAACCAAAATTTTTATGGAAAAGTAAGAGAGTTTGATGAATATGGCTGTCTATTTATGACATGTATAATGTCACAATCGCTCCGCATACATTGTCAAACCCTTTCTACCTGACACATGTGGCACATATCTGTATACCATAGGCCGTGGTATGCAGATATGCACCCCAAGAGTTCTGACGCAGCAACAGCTAGAACAGATGTGGGTATTTTAAATCAAGCACATTAAAAAAAGCCACGATCAGCAGCATTCACGTGACAAATATGAAGAATGAATATCAAGATCTCAGCAGGAATCAAACCCGAGCACTCTGCGTGTTAGCCAGGTGTTCTACCACAGAGCCACGCCAGGTCTTGAAGCTGACTTGGGGAAATACTTATGCAGGCATACCGTCAGTGCAGTTTTCATTGTGGATGCAGTGATGGTCATGTTCTCACAGCAAAGCTGTGGTATTACTGGCATGGAATGTACCACTTTTCCAACAGTACGTGTGTCGTGTTTCAAATCTCAATGTTGGAAGAGCTCACTTCACATAGTCTCTGGACCACCAGAGCCATCACCTTGCCCCTACCAGTCTTGATCACATTGCAATAGAGTTGTACAATCCCCTTCCCTACACACCTGACAAGAAGCGCTGGGTGATTGTTGCTATTGATCACATGGTGTGCTATGCTGAAACTGCCGTGCTGCCAGAGGCCACATCACATGAAGTTGGCTTATTTATTTTTCAGAAACTTGATCTTTGCCATGCGTGCTTAGTGAGTTACTGAGCGACTTTGGATGTATGTTCCTCTCCGAAGCCTTAAAAACCCTTCTTCATGAATGAAATGTTGTGCTTTGGACAACCAGTGTGTACCATCCACAAACCAATGGAGTAAAAGAGTAACTGGGTGACGTGCTATTCATGTACATGTCCACTGACCACACCAACTATCCTTTGTAACTTATGCTTAAAATAGCGCCACTCAGTCTACAACAAAATTCTTTCCATTTTTTCTTCTCTCTTCCGTTATTTATTATGCCGACCCCCCTCGGCCACCTCTGATCGCTCCCTCTTCCCCTTCACCCGCTGCCGTGCGCCGCATTCTTTTTCTTTTTGATCTGTGCGCGACACGTCCCAAGTCTATTTAAAATATCTACGCGCCACAGCGGGGCTCATGAACGGTGCGAGTGTAGACATGGCAGCTGATCAGCACACAGCGAGCGAAGGTCATGAAACTGCGGGCACAAACCAACAGTCGCATCCGGCAAATACAAAACTTCAAGGCCCGACCGCTAGCACACAATTTTCGAGCGACGACAACAAATTTTGCTGTCGTCATGGGGGTCGCAAAGGGCCATTTGTTACCATTGCGTCGCAGGTTTCAAAAATTACTTGGTGTCTTGAGAAGATGGTGACTATTTCTGCAACATTGTAGCTCCCCCGATTCTTGCTTTGGTTACAATATGCTCTACATGCTTGCTATCCGCATGTATCTTAAGGACTGCAAGATATAGGCAACCTTTTCTACAGTATCTTCTCCTTTGGACAGTGAGGTGACGGCCGTATTTTGTCGTTAATCTTGTTATTGAATGTTTGTTCTGATGCTTCGATGGCAGCTTGCTGCTATGTTGGTTACTTGCTACAATATCAACGGCGGCAGCGAGGTCATCTTGTGAAGTTGACGCGAAGTTGATAAAGTGCGTTGTAGCGTACACTCTATGCCCATCGAGATCACAGCATATACCACTGTAGCGTATAAGTGATTGTGAAAATTAAAGATAGTCACGAAACGCTTTTATGGCATGGGCGGAGACAGCTTGCAGAAGATAGTGTAATCAACCGCCTAAGATGAGTGAAATGCAACAAAGAAGCTGTTTCCAAACAGTGTACGTGCATGTCTATTGCGAAAAGCTAAGTGACCTAACTTTTTTTTTGCAATACCGCATTTTTTGCCCATCCCGAAAAAGTTTTCATAAAATATTCTCCACATAATAAATGCAACCCCACCTTTGCTCTGATTTCTCAAGAAAAAAAAGTGCATTCATTATGCAAGTAAATACGGTGTATGGCACAGGCCAGTGGGAATACCAGTGAAAGAAGAGAACGACTGTTGATGCTGCTCACACTTGCTCAGCCTGAAATGCTTCACCAGTAGCAATATTTTGATAAACGCATCAGTAGCTCAACATTAAACCTGCTGTTTCGTTGTTTTTCATCTTTATAGCGAATTTGGTTTAAGAAAGTTAAAGAGGACAATCAGTTGGTTTATTTGGTTTTAAAACACATTGGGATCACTCAGGGCCAACTTCTGCGAGCAACGATGGAAACCAGGGGCTGCCAGTGCAAACTAACCTAAAAAAAAAATATTGACTCCAATTGGAATGCTTCGAGTTCGAACGAATTGGAAAATTCCCAATCGCAATTTAGTACGCATTTGGGGGTATTGGAATGCGACCAATTGGTTTTTGTGGGATGGACCACTTGGTAGTCAATAGGTACCAATTGGTTGGAGTAACCAATTGACCAAACAGCTTCATGGTGGCAGCTCCTTAGCCGCACCAATGTGCAAGAGTAATAGACAACAAAACAGGCAAAAAGGAGGGTAAAAAAACAAAACTTTATTGTTCTCTGACGCTGTAGGTTTTGGAGAAGTCCTCACGGTGGCAGCTCCTTGGCTGCTTTGAT